TCAAAATCAAAATCTTGGCTGATTTCAATGTGCTGTTGGATGTTGTCCGCCATTGCTTCTGTGGTTAACGTCACGTTGTAATCCAACTGCAGTTGAGTTGGACGGCAATTGTAGTTCAAGATGAGCGTTCGATGACGTATACTATCAAACTCACAAATGGACCAATCAGAGGTTAACGCTGATTTCCAGCTGACGGCGTCCTGTCCTAAGAAACCAAGCCTTAAGAAACCAGACCTTTAGATTGCTTAAATAAATGATAGATTTAAAGATTTCTGAAATATTGGAAATAAAGGCTAAGCACAAGCATAATTTCCTTCTGTCAAGGTATAAATTTTCGCTCATGTATTGAAACTCACTAAAATGCCATCTAAAATCTTCATTCACTCACCTATTTGTTGAGCTAGAATCATAATATTCAAAAATTATGATTTGGCAACGACATGTCTTTTAATCATTGTGAACAAAGCCTTTAATTGGTTACATGCGAGTGACGTCATCGCAGGTAAAGCATACCATTTGTCGATTCTGAAGCCAATAAGGCACGAAACACACGCCCGTGACGTCGCTTACCAATTAAATTTCATTTAAATTCCATGGTTCGGCATTATTTCACATCTTCTCGAGTTGCAAGCGTCCAATTCCTTGTGCATATAACAGAAGAAAAAAATTTCGGGAATGAATGAGGTTGTATATGGTGATGACGAGTTGAAATCTCAGATTTCCTAGAACATAGAATGACGTGGCAGTTTTTTCAATTAAAGTGATCCTTTAGCTTTGAACAGTTACGTTGCTTTATGATATATTCGCTAAATAATGCCTCTCCAGATAATTTTGATCGGATATTTTTTTTTATCTAAGCATAGCAGAAGTTTCACGTGGTACCTCTAATTAGAAAACTTTTTCCATTATAGTCATTTTAAGGTAGTTGTGTAGCCAAAAACATCATTTGTAAAGAATCGACCATTGATGAGCTTTTTAATTTGCATAAAGCTCAAAGTGTGCGTATAAAAAAATAAATATAGTTTGAATTGTGTTTTTTAAAAATGACCATAGCACAAAATACACTTAAAAAAAAATTAATACAGCATAACATGCGGTGATGAGAAGAAATAAGATATGTGTGGCAAGGACTGGAATAGAAACTTTGATCCACGGATCCATAAAAAGTTGCTATAGCTCTCTCGGCTAAAGTGATCGCAAAGCATTGAGCATCAAGGTATCTTCTTTATAGTTCTCTATGAACGGAAACGTTTAAAAAATGTTTACCATTTTACTTTTTTAAAAATATCCTATAAGTTTAAAAATATGCATAAGTTTTCCAATGTAAGCTTAGTTTCGAAACCAATTTTATGTATAAATAAACTATACCTATTGAAAAGGGAATGAAGTATTCTGGTTTCACAACTTTTTTTCCATCTTCAGTCAAGAATCTCTCTGGTTTATATTCATCAGTATCATTTCCCCACAGAGATTTGTTATGGGATACTGCATAAATTATGGCTATCACGTCCATGTGCTTGGGAATAAAGTATCCATTAAGTTCAGTATCTGCAATTGTACTGAAAAAGTATATTTGCTTTTTAAATATTTTATAAGTTTATAAACGTAATTTAAAATTCAAGAAATGGTAACTTAATTTCTTGTCATCCAGAGTACAGTATATTGGAAAACATTTGGTAATATTTTATCACTTAAGAAATGATATTTTAATTATTTTTCTGTTTGCATGTATAACGCAGCTATTCTGTGAGAAAACATGATTTTACCCTCTGTAGTCGATAATTTAAAGCTGATTTATAACTGAAAAATGGTTATGGCTAAGAAAAAAATTCCTTTCAGCAAATTGATACAGAAAAGTAATAAATTTGTTCACCTAGAGTTCTTAGTTTTTGATCAGTTTTTTTTCGATCGATAGAGCTTATGCTAGTAAAACCAGAAATCAAAGAAAAATAATTGAAAATCACATGACACGTGACGGTATGCGATTGCAGCTGTTGAGGAATATTTCGAAACTGGTGTAAAATGGTTTTTATTCTTTAAAATATTTTGAAAAATGTGGATTTTTAATTGTCTTTCTTTCTTATTATTTATGCTATTTATTATATACGCTTAATATATGTAACACCATCTGCAAAAAACTATTTAAAAAAACAGAAATTCTGAGAAAAAGTATTTATGGTTTTTCACATGAATTTACAACAAGAATTGTTTTTTTTTTAACCTTATTTACTTTCCTGATGAAAAGTTTTGAAAACAACAAGAAATATGTTTTCTATAAATGAGAAATAAATAAGAGTCGACTTGTTTCAGACATATCAAAAATTATTTTCAAGACTTGCCAGTCGTGAATGTGAGGAAAACAAAAATGATTTGAATTAAAAACTTAGATTTGCGTAAGAAAAATGGGAAAATAAAGGTGAGAAATAAAACAGGAAAAACTACAGTAGGCCGAGAGAGGAAAAAGAAAACCCCCGGAAAAATCGTTGTTGCCGAAAGCAAATCAGGGTAAAATGCATTTCCAGGAGTTATGGAGAGTTAGGGTGAAACTACTTCCGTTAATAAGGAAATCAGCATTAAAATGAATGAAACAAGATTTCAAGGGATCAAGACGAGCTGATGCAACAGGGGTTTAAATAGTTTACCTTGTTAAACTCACAGGACCCACAAGCCCCTCTTCTTCTAATTCTTACAGAGATCTTGTTACTTTACCTTTTTTTCCCTCCAGTTTGTTACAAAATTGCTAATATTCTTCCCAGTTTTGGCTTTAAAGTAATTTTCAGACTTGTTAACAAAATCAAATTTAAGTCTCATGAAGATTTTATTAGCTTTGATAACCGCTGGAGCATTTACCACAGCTCTTATCAATCCAACCTTGGCTACATCGGGTGACATGAGCGAGCTTTCAGATTTATACACAAGTAACATGATAGATATGTCCGTTATCAAGAATTCGAGAAATCTTCAATTCCTTCCCATTGTTGGATTCTCGGGCATAAATTCAATTGCGACTATGTCAAAATTATTTTTGCCTCAGACACATCAGCTCATTTTGATGCCCTAGAATCTTGTGTTTTATTCCTTTGAATAATGATTCCCTTGTTATGTATAAAGTTACTTATAATGCAACAACATAATGTTATGAACACTAGTTCAGCACCACCTCTCCATAATGAGTGCAAATACATTTTACCCTGATTTGCTTCTTGGCCACTGTGATTCTTCTTGTTTTTTTCATCTTTTTCTCTTTCGGCTTGTGTGGTTTTTCATGTTTTGTTTCTCACCATTATTTTTCCATTTTTCGTTGGCAACTTTACGTACGCATGTCGAGTCTTTTTGATGGGCTTGAAACATGTTGACTGTTATTTCTTATTTCTGAAGTGAATGAAGTTTTCAATCAGGCAATATCTTACCACTTTAGTTTAATGAGATTATTTATTTAACGTTTCAAAATATTTAGAAAACTTGATTTTACTCTTTCTAGTTAAAAATTTGAATTACAAAGAAAAATTATAAATGAGGACGCAAATTTGATTCAAGCACCTTTCGGACGGACTTCATGGCGTATAAATATCTGATTATTTAATTCTTGTTGATTTTATTTCATGAGCAAAATAAGAAGAATTAAATGATAAAAATATCCTACAACATGGAAAAAAGATGCTTAAAAAAACATCAGTTTTTGTGTAATAAATGAAAATTTCAACAAAATAAAACTAATTTAATTATGAAACTTATTTCCTAAATTGTTTTTTAATCATATTTATGAGTGAACTTTATTTTAAGCTACATACTTCTTAGTAAAAAATGCAGTTTTTGCCATCATTTCAAGATCAGATCTCGGAGTGCTACTTACTAGCGGATTTGGTTCACGGGTATAATGGGCTTCCATCTCATGAGTTCTAGGATTGTGGCTTCAGTGTAAGGCATGTCAAACCTATCTTGCCATGTTGGAAACCTTTCTGAACCAAGAGCATCATCGATCTCTGCATGAACCTTTTGTTGAACTTCTGGGTAAGCAGAGTAAATTAGAAGCATCCATTCAACGCTTAAACGTACGGTTTCGCTTCCAGCACCAAAGAAACCTCTCGCTAAATCTTCAAGAGTATCTCCTGAAAATTTAAATAATTTTTTTTTATCGAAACAATTGTTCTTTTATAAAAGTATTTAAATCATGTAGGAAATAAATGCTTATTTTTCGGAATTAGTAGTATTTTTGTATGTTCCTATTTTATATTTATCTAAAATTTTTATTCTGACAGATTTGCTTAAGCGCTCCAAGCGTTGAGCTTTTGAACAAAACTCTATTCAAATTTTCTTGCTATGTACTACTTTCCTATAGGAAAACACTGGTTTTTTGATAAGAAAAATCTGCAGTTTGAAGTTTGAAAAAAAAACTGGAAAGAACGCTCAGAATAAGGCTCCTATTCAGGGGCTCTAGGTAAAACTAATTACAATATATAATTAAATAGTTAACTCTTTAATCCCAAATTTAAGTTTATTTGGCCTAACTGGTTTTATAACAATTAAGGCTTGCAGAACCAACGAGATTTAAGTTAAATTAAAAACAAAATATAGTTTCCACCAATAATATGCTATTTCTTTTTGTTTTCCTTGATTTTAGTTTTTCGCAGTTAAATGAACATGTGAAAAAGTCCAATTCAATATTTCATACTAATAGAATTATATTTATAAGATAATATTCCTTATTTCATGTAAATTAAATTTTTAGCAGTATAATTGAAAGTTTAAAGTTATTTTACGTTAAGGCATTTTTTATGATTCAATTTAAACACTTCAATGAATTCAGAAATGGAACAGTCCTGCGTTAATTTAAGTCTCTATAAACGCCTACAGTAAATAAACACATTTGATATGCAGTTTTCGGCATATGAATGTTTGAAGATCAATTCTGCAGACCACTAACTAGTCCATTTAAAATGCGAGCCTGCTGGCCTATGAACATATGTCGCTTTTTTAATAACTATAACTATGCTCTTACTGTGAAATGTTGAAGTGACATCCTTGGCTCGTTTCTGAATTTCAAGTAAGTATGCGTCTATGAAATCTCGAATGTTGTCAGGGTCAAAGGTTGCTTCGTGCTCTCTCATTTCTTCTCTACAAAAGGATACAAATAATTTTAAAATGCCTTTTTTCAGAGTTATATATATATAGTATATATATATATAATATTAGAAAAATAATAAAGAATTCTCATTAGGACGCATTCCTTTGCGACAGGGAAAGAAACACTTTAAAATGAAGAATAATTATCCTAAGATAAAAATCACTCTTTGTAATGCATCTATGCTTCCAAAAAAATATAAAGCAATGTAATTTCAAAAGTGGAAAACATACTTATAGATATGAAGTAAAATAAAATAAACATTTGTTTTTTAAAATTAAATATACTAATCTAACAGTTAACAAAATATTTTAAGAAGAAAAACTACAAAGAATGTGCTTTTAGCTTTATCGTCTAAAATAATTTGTGAAAAATATATAAGCAAATTACATTTCAGTGCTGCCATCTGTAAAAAAAACACTTTAATAATAGTTGGAAATTTTAAGTAATGAAACTTCTAATACGGATAGAAGTTGATAAAAACAATATTCAAATTGAAAAATGATTTTATATATATATATATATATCGTAAACCGGGGCGAGTCTACCCATTTTAGTTTTATTTAATTTTCACTATTTTAAATTGCAAATAAAATTTTTTTTACCGACGGAGGACTTAGTTCAGACTCTAAGGAAGATGGCGCTGTAGTAGTTTGATCCGTTTTTATTTATTTGGTGTCTTTTTAACCGACCTGTTCAAGCCTCTTTTGAGAGATTTTTATTGAAGATCAGCAAACTTTTAGTTGGTGCTCCGTAAGTATATTATTATTATTACTATTTTCACTTTGGTTAAGTGATAAACTTATCTAAGACTAAGATTACATTAATTTTACATGAAAAAAAACCCAAAAAGAATGTAAGTTTTGCTGTTGTAAACAAAAAGCTAGAAATCGCGGGGCCAGTCTACCCATTCGTATTTAGTTTTAATAAAGCATAATAATATAATTTAGAACTTTGTTTATATTAAAATTAAGTCATTTTAAATGAATTTGAGTATATTATTTTAATTCTGCATTGATAAATTTATCATTAATAAGAAAATTTATAGGTTAAATATAAATGTAAATATAAAATATGTTTATTTTACCTATTTTTTCAATTTTTATATTACAAAATTAACTTTTTTTATTTAATGCAAGTTAAATAAATTATTATTTATAAATTATTATTACCTCCCAAAAGAATGGGAAAAGGATTTTTCATGATTCCCAATGTTTGAATTTCGATTTTGTTAATAATCTTTAATTATTATTATTTATTAATTATTTAATTGTAAATTTATATTAATTTTAATTTATTTTTATCAACAATAATCAGAAAAAAATGTTATTTTATAATGTTAATGATTATAAAAACAAAACTGTGATCAAAATGTGATAATCGATCAAATACTCAATTTGTGTTATTTTATGAATAAAAAAATGGAATATATAATAAAGTTATGAATTTTACTTCATAAATATCCTATATAGTAACTAAAATAACAATTTAATAGTAAAATTTGATTATTTACAATGTTAACATTCATTTTAGTAGAATGGGTAGACTCGCCCCATACGAGAGATTTGTCAGCAGTTCTATAAAAATATACAGTAACAGCGTAACTGTTAATATTTTCTAAAATCGATTTCACAGCTTTAAAGAGGGATAAATAGCGATTCCGAAACACTTATTAAAAACCTTTTTTCTTTAATATTTACAAAAGTTTGACCACTTGAAAGTTGACAAACTGAAAAAATGGGTAGACTCGCCCCGATTTCCTTCATGTTACTAGCAACACCTCCTAGTAATTATGTAGGGTGTAGGACAGAAAGTATATATTGCTTAAGAATATATTAAATATGAATATATTATTTAAGATAATTGTTTGTTAGTAAGCTTTCCTTAATAAGATATTTTTATTATGCTTTTCTGTATATTTGTTTTCAGGCTCTCAAAAATCAGTATGCGTCACTCAATTTCATGCTACATGACGAAAATAATCTCAAAATGAATAAATGGAAATGAAATCAATGCATGTAGTTAAGAAATAAACCAGGGTGCATCAAATTAAAAATACACCCATAAAGTTTCTAGAGAAGGGTCTACTATTATCTCCCAAACTATCGAATAAAATAAACGGCATGAATCCTAGCCCCAAAAACTGTTTACTACGAGAGAGACCTAAAAAAAAACACTAAAGTGGTTCAGCAGTTGCAGAAAAGTGTGTGGGCGTTTCTAATCTTCAACGTTTTTGCAATCTTTATAAAATTTCGCGTGTAAATATCCGGGAAAATGAAACCATAATAATTATAAGATTGTCTGATTTATATGGTTTCCTCATTAATGGTGTCCTTTGTATTAAAGTGTCCGTAAGGAATCGGACCTCTTTCCCAATCTGTTAAGCTATCTGAAGATCAACTTTTCTCTTATCCATATATATAAAATTCATCCAAGAACTTAAGCGAATAAGATATTTTCAGCGATGAACCCAGCATATGCTGAGTTGTAAAAGGACTACTCTGGAAACGAAATCTCTCGAGATCAGTAAACTCAATCTGGTGGATAATTCAAGAACTCCCCAATGCAGCATTTGCTTCTTTGGGACAGTGGGCAACGGTTAGTAACGAAAACAGTCGAGTTTAAAATTAGCTCCTTACTGCAGAAAGATGGTAACATGCAAAGATACAAAACTTAATTCATAGTCAAAATACTGATTAATGTACACAATTAATATTTAATGGGTATTGTGAAGTTTGTATTCTTCAGTCAATCTCAATTCGCATTAACTAACATTTAAAGAAGTCGTATATTTAAAATCCGATCCCCTTGTACTATTCCTATGTAAAATTACATTGAATGACGTATAAATTGTATACCTTACAATTCAAAATTTCAAGAGTTATAATTTTAAAATCCAGAATTTTCCGTAAAGCGTTACCATATGAAAGATAGAATTAATAAATGATTGTTTAAAATTCCGTACATTTAGATTTCATTACCAGAATTATGGTTGCTTTCCCAGAAATACTATTACCAAACAGTATGCAATTTTAGCAAGTTTTTTCTTCGTGTAAGAATAGAGAGCGAAATCTTTCAAATTTGTGTAGTATCTAGATGATATTTCACTACAAAATATTATCAAATTTAATGAGTTACAGTTAATGAAGTTTTCATGTAAATGAGTCGTAGAATTTAAGGTAGAAGAATTGGTCCAAAACAGAAATGATTATTTTTTATATTTGAGAGGCAAATGTTCAAAACAGTTTAATGCATGAATAATTGCCTTACCTGACGTATTTTTTTACCTTGCCTAATTCTATGGAAAATTTTTTCCTCGTCCCTATATTGAAAAAGTCCAAAACTTTACTTATCCAAGGAAAGAACATTGGAATTAAAGGTAATCCTAAACGTCCAATTTCAGCAAAGCATTCGTTTAGCATCTTTCTTTTAGGATCATCGTGTTTGAGACGCTTTCCAAATATAAATGAAGCGATGTTGTTGGACATACTGGGAGTGAGGTATTCAGCAGGCGATATTGGACAACCATTTTCTTTTTCTATTAGTTCAATCAATTCAAGAATTTCTTCCTGAAATTTAAATTTCGATATAATTGAAAGATAATTTAATCTTTAAATTAGAAGGACAAAATTAATGCCGAAAAAGGCTTAACATTGATTTTATTCTTTAGCAATACACCATCCGCTGTTTATTTTCTTTTAAACTAGCTGTTGTCTTCGTGGAAGTACTTTGACTTCATTTTTACCTATTTTCACGAGATGTCAGTGATATTGTCAAATTTTAGTAATAATGTAAAATTTTTCAGGCAGCCATTAAATCTTATAAACCATCATAAGTATGAGTTTGACATATTAAAGTCTGGTAGACAATATAAGTAATAAAATTATTTCCATCTCTGTCGTGACATAAGAGAGACTCATCCCAATGCTTCCTTACGTACTTATTTCTTCATGAATCTCTTGAGTCATAACTTGAGTATTGTACAATGTTTATGCTATTGCGTGAAAAATGCAAGCGCCAATTATTAGTATGACAATATGTGGCACCAGAGCCCCGTTTATGCTTGAAATTTATGCAGCAATTTTAAAAAGGATAAAAAATAGGTCTGAATTTTTCGTAACTAAGCTTTTATTTCTATAGAAATACAAAATATTCTAAATAAATGCTTAACGTAAAGCAAACTATTCAATTCGCGAACGCAACGAACTATAGGGGGCGTTGTTGTTTGAGACGAATACCTGCGATTTCTATATGAACAGTCAGTCAGTCATTCAGTTACTCTGGAGACGTCTTTGTAGCGTGCAGCATTGTAACGTTCCTTCTCCATTGTGGCTTATTAAATTTAAAAAAGAAAATGTTTAATATCCTTTCTTATGCAAACGAAAACAAGAAGGTATCTCTTTTTTTTAAAGAAGGAACATCCAAAACACATCTGAAAAATATTTGTAAATAAACAGAAAAAAATATGTATCTTCTTATTAGAGTTAAAACCTAATGCCTGAGAAATAGTTTTACTAAATTTAATGATATAACCTGAAAGGCCTATTTAAACTTTACATTCCATAGTTTTCAGAATCATATTACTTCAAACATTAAAATAAGCAAAAAGTATGCAGAATCTTCATAATTTTATATAATTTAATTTTGTAAAAAAGTTTTTTGATAACAATTTTAATAAAAATCATTATTCAGAAACTGAAAAATGTAAAATAAAGAATGCTTACGCTACAAAACAGAAAAGAAAAAACCAATTCTAAAAATTCCGTACATTAAAATAAAAAACTTTCATGTTTTTTCTTTTTTGATTCATAATCGGAGGTAGAAAACCATTCTATAGAAAACTATCATCAAATAAGAAAAAAAAATATTTAAAAGTAAAATTTTTTGTTTTATAAAAATTAACACTTACCTGCTTTATAAATCAGAAGAATTCCAAAATGATTTGTTCTTCGATTTTTGTTACCATTTTTTAGTACTACGAAAATGCGTCTTTGGGATTTGCCAAAAATAGAACAAGATGCAATTTTATTTTTTCAGGGGCCAAATATTTTGCCCATTGTCCACCGAAATCCGACAAAATACTTTGATTTTAAATAAAGTGTTTTATTAAAGTGTTTTATTTATTGATTTTAAATAAGTGTTATTTTAATAAAGTGTGTTATGATTTGTCGCAAAAATTTTAGCTGTAGATTTTTGGCACTTAGAAACCGCCAAATCTGTAGTTGCGGTGGCGTTAATACGTAAGTGCCGAAGTTTTATTCCATACTTTTATGAATCATATTACTTCAAACATTAGAATATGCAAGAAGTATACATAAACACATAATGTTATACCATTTAATTTTTTAAAACAATTATATTAACAACAATTTTTTATCAAAAAATTATAAACCAAAAAACGTAAAATAAAGAATTCTTAGGATAAAAAAACGATTTTAAAAATTTCTCATATTGAAATAAAAAGCTACGCCATCTATCGGGAGACTGAAAATATCGGACATTGGATCGTACAAAACCATTGGCAATGACGGACGCCATTTTATTAGCAGCTAATAAGAAGCAAAATTTCCCTATGGAAAAGGAACTTCTTGAAAAAACTAACCAGAACATGCCAAACATTGAAGCAGAACACGCCAAGCATTTGAAGAACAATTTCTCAATAATTTTTACTTTTCTATTACCAACAACATAACTTCCAAATGATCACTTGCTGTTACAGATTGTGTATATTACGGTAAAATACATTTTTTCTAGTCTTCAATTCATTACAAATTAAAGTGAAGTCAGCATTGCTTTCGTCATTCCAATGAATAAATAAGAATTCAGAATATGCACAGAACTGTATAATAGTTACAGAATATTGTTCTTCTTTATAGAAAAATATATATTTCTGTATCTATATTATTCGTAAAACAACAATAAAAAATCAACCGAACTACTTGAAATAGATTCATTTGTTCTGATTAATAATAAATTTGTATCGTTTTCTTGGTAAGTATTTTTTAGTTTAGAAGAAATAATTTCAACTAAAATTCAGCTATTCTGTTTTTAAGCTACATATTCAAATTTATATCGAGATCTTACATTTATAAAATTTTGATGTGTGGTATGTTATCTAAAAGTAATGAAGGGATAATCTATGCATACATTATTTGAGAATAAAATTTTCAAACGAAGAACATTTAATTTGGAATTCTGCAGATTTATGAAACAGGTGAGTGTTATGATTTTTATAATAAAAAATTTGCTTGTAAATATTTTTTTATTTATTTGATGATAGTTCTCTACAGAATGGTTTTTTACGTCTGATTAAAAATTATAAGAATAATAAAAAAAGAAACAATATGAAAGTTTTTATATCAATGTAAAGAATTCTTAAAATCGCTTTTTATCCTAAGAATTCTTTATTTTCCGTTTTTTAGTTTATAATTTTTTGATAAAAATTGTTGTCAAAATACTTTTTTTGAAAAATTAAATGGTATAACATTATGTGTTTATGTATACTTCTTGTATATTCCAATGTTTGAAGTAATATGATTCAG